ACCCGCCCAAGACCCGCTTCCCGCAGCCGCCTCTCCCGCTCCGGATCCCTCCACGTAGCGGCCGGAGCCAGGGTAGCCCCGCCCACCAACGAGTCCCGGCTTCGAGTAGTGATACGCATGAACAAAGCCATATCCTTTTGCAGTGGGGTCGAGAGAGAAAGTAGTACGCCCGCCCCCTGCTGAGTCCTTCTAGGCCCTTTTGCAAATACCGGGCATGAACTACTCGCCGTCGGCTCTCTGCCACTTGGTCTCGCCCCCTACTCTCCTCCCCTTATTCCTGAGGCCTAGAAAAGAAAACAAAAACAAAAACCCACCACATACAAGAAACATGCAGAGTACCTCAAAAGCGGCCCTTGAAATGTCATCAAACGGTAGTAACCTAGTGAGTGAGTTGTGACGTCATCTGGAACACAGGAAACGGGGCTCGTAGGGTATTCGGTACGAAGGAAGCCAGGCTGGTCCTGGCGGGAAGTAAATGATAATCTTTGGGAAACCAGGACCCTGCCTCCCAGCCTAGAGGTGGAGGAGGGTGGTCAGCGTGGGGCCTACAGTGGCACAGCACTGACAAAAGTAGAGGGAAATTTAATAGCACATCTACACTGCAGTCTGGTGAAAGTGGCCGGGGTGGCCCTTGGAAAACAGTTGGGCTGTTCTTTGCAGGAATTCGTGATAGCCTCTCTGTCACGGGCAGAGACCAGGGGCTGACATAAAAGGTCTGGGTATAGACTTTTGAGCCTTGAGCAGGGCCTCCTACCTGGCAGTGGAGAACTGCAGTCTTCTTCCTGGCAATAACCCTAAAGCAATAATGATGGCCCCTCCTCTGTAAGACTTCCCAGGGAACTGTAAATAAACCTCAGCTTGATCCTCACAGTGTCTAAAGTTGCAGGGGCTTGGGAGGTTAGGGTCACAGTCTCATCTGCCTGGCCCTCTCGCCCCCTAACATTAGAAAGCTCCCAGCATTAGCTTTCTCTCCATTGCTCATTCCAGGCATCAGGCTCCTAGTCACTGTTCTCATTAAGGACCAAGACACCAGATACCCCAGGCCCCAGTTTTCTTCCTTCAGTTACCACATTCCTTAGAACCCAGAAATCTGGCTTCATAATTTTGTTCCTCCTCTTTCTATGAAAGACCTAGCTATCTGCCCTTATTTGTTTGTATTTAAAGTAATATTAGCCATACTCCTTCCTTGTACTTCTCATTTCTCTCTCGCCGGATACCCACACATATGCCAAGGAACTTGTGGCTGAGTGGGAGATGCTGTTCTGAGGTTGAAGCTTTGTGATTTGATGGAGAGGTAAAGTGAAGAGTGGTCTGAGGTTGAGGGAATACAGAGAGAAGGAAAGATGTTATCATTTTACTGGGACAGAACTGGGTGGAAAGTTAAAACCTTAAAGATCACAAGGCAGAGGAGGATGAGCTCTGCGTTCCTTAAATACAACCTGCCCATCTCCCTTCTACCCATCCTCATCCTTCCTTGATCCAAAAGCTGGGCAAGCAGAGTTAAACCAATTTCCAAAAGAGAAAAGTCAGCAGCATGCCATTTACTGGATTAGCAGCCAACCGAGTCAACTAATTAATACGTACTTCCACCCCATCATCTCCCACTCATTTTGCAAGACTGTGGAGGAAACAAGTAAGTAAAATATATGACTAAACTATGATTAGTTATTCTGTAACAAACATATGAGAATTTATCAATCCCAAATAGGATTCTCCTTAAATAGTTAGTTATCCTAGAGGGTTATGCACTTATTTTAATGAACCCTGTCCCATTGCTCAAAATATTAAAAACAAGCAAACAAACACCACTCCTCCTATAATTACCTTCAGAGATGGTTTGGAAACCCTTTGATTTAAAAAAACAAAACAAACAAAAAAACCCTTCTTTTATTGTCACACCTCTTTTGTGTATAGACTTTGCCATATTTATCACTCACCTCATTCATTAATTTAGCAAGTATTTGTCTATTGAGTCCTATTATGGTGTGGCACAGGGATACAAAGGTGAACAAAACCAGACTCAGAACCTTCATATATCTTGCTGAGGAGAGAGACAATCACAGAACCACTAAATAAATCCAAACTTCCTGTCCAAAGTCCAGAGGAAAGCACATGGTGTTACCGAGTCTGTAGTGGTTATTTGACATGGTGAGGTTAACCCCAAGAGCTAAAGGATGAATAGGTGTTAATAAGGGTTAAGCAAGAGGGTTAAGAGCATATGCTAAGGCCTGTGGCAGAAAAGAACATACAAGCCAAAAGTACCCAAAGCCAGAGTGTCTAGAGAGGAGCAGAACAGAAAGTGAGACATGGGTAAATGGTTGGGCACAGTGGCTCACACCTGTAATCCCAGTACTTTGGGAGGCTGAGGCTGGTGGGTCACTTGAGGTCAGGAGTTTGAGACCAGCCTGGCCAACATGGGGAAAACCTGTCTCTACTAAAAATACAAAAAAAAAAAAAAAAAAAAAAAAAAAAGCCACCTGTAGTCCCAGCTACTTGGAAAGCTGAGGCAGGAGAATCGCTTGAACCCAGGAGGCAGAGGTTGCAGTGAGCTGAGATCGTGCCACTGCACTCCAGCCTGGGCGACAGAGCAAGACTCAGGAAGGAAGGAAGGAAGGGAGGGACGGAGGGAGGGTGGAAGAGAAAACAGGCGGGCATGGGTAAGTTTGGAGCACACAGGGACTTACAGGGCACCTTACAATGTTATATTTATCTAGGCCAGGTGCAGTGGCTCACACCTGTAATCCCAGCACTTTGGGAGGCTGAGGCAGGTGGATCACTTGAGCCCAGGGGTTTGAGACCAGCCTGGGCAACGTGGGGAGACCCCATCTCTACAAACATACAAGAATTAGCTGGGCATGGTAGCTCGTACCTGTGTAGTCCCAGCTACTCGGAGCCTTAGGTGGGTAGGTGGCTTGCGTCTGGAAGATTGAGGCTGTAGTGAGCCAAGATTATGCCACTATGCTCCAGCCTGATGGTCAGAGCAAGATCCTGTCTCAAAAAATATTATATTTATCATACTGGGAAAAAAACAGTAGGAAGCCCTCTATATCAGTTATCTGTGATACACAACAAATCACTACCAACATTAATGGCCTGAGATAACTTTTTATTTATTTTAATTTTATTTTATTTTGAGATGGAGTCTCTCTGTGTCACTCAGGCTGGAGTACAGTGGTGCGATCTTGGCTCACTGCAACCTCCACCTCCCGGGTTCAAGCGATTCTCCTGCCTCAGCCTCCTGAGTAGCTGGGACTACAGGCAAGTGCCACCACGCTGAGCTGATTTTTTGTATTTTTAGTAGACAGGGTTTCACTATCTTGGCCAGGCTGGTCTTGAACTCCTGATCTGGTGATCCACCCGCCTCAGCCTCCCAAAGTGCTGGGATTACAGGCATGAGCCACCATGCCCGGCCACTATTTATCTATCTATTTATTTATTTATTTAGAGATGGAGTCTTGCTCTGTTGCCAGACTGGAGTGCAGTGGCGCGATCTTGGCTCATTGCAACCTCCGACTCCCTGGTTCAAGCGATTCTCCCGCCTCTGCCTCCCCAGCAGCTGGCATTACAGACACGTGCCACCACGCCCAGCTAACTTTTGTATTTTTAGTAGAGACGGGGTTTCACCATGTTGTCCAGGAGAGTCTCGATTTCCTGATCTCATGATCCGCCTGCCTCGGCCTCCTAAAGTGCTGGGATTACAGGCATGAGCCACCGTGCCCAGCCACTTTTTTTTTATTTTTAAGCAGTGGGGTCTCGCTCTGTCACCCAGGCTGGAGGGCACTGATATGATCACGGCTCAGTGCAGCTTTGAAGTCCTGAGGCTCAAGTGATTCTCCCACCTCAGCCTACTGAGTAGCTGGAACGACGTGCACCACTGCGCCTGGCTTTTTTCTTTTCTTTTTTTTTTTTTGAGACGGAGTCTGGCTCTGTCACCCAGGCTGGAGTGCAGTGGCCGGATCTCAGCTCACTGCAAGCTCCGCCTCCCGGGTTCACGCCATTCTCCTGCCTCAGCCTCCCGAGTAGCTGGGACTACAGGCGCCCGCCACCTCGCCTGGCTAGTTTTTTGTATTTTTTAGTAGAGACGGGGTTTCACCGTGATAGCCAGGATGGTCTCGATCTCCTGACCTCGTGATCCGCCCGTCTCGGCCTCCCAAAGTGCTGGGATTACAGGCTTGAGCCACCGTGCCCGGCCTCTTTTCTTTTTTTGTAAAGACAGGGTCTCACCACGATGCTCAGGCTGATCTCAAACTCCTGAGCTCAAGTGATCCTTCCATCTTGGTCTCCCAAAGTGCTAGGATTACAAGTGTGAGCCACCACACTCAGGAGAAATAACTTTTAAAAACTGTTCTTTTTCACGATTCTGTGGGCTGGCTAGGAGTTCCTTTGCTGTTTTCACCTAGGTTCACTCATGTCTCTGCACTCAAACAGCAGGTCAGCTGAGCAGGAAAATGGAAAATGGCCTCACCAGCATGTTTGGCTGTTGGCTGGCGCTCCTCCGTGTGGCCTCTTCCTTACATGGTGGTCTCAGGGAGTGTTCCAAGGGGACAAAGGCAGAAGCTACAAGGCCTCTGACAGACTAGGTTCCAGAACTCACACATCGCTTCTGCCACACCTATTGGTCAAAGCTAGTTACAAGACCAGCCCAGATTCAAGGGATAGAGAAAGAGACCCCAATTCTTGATGTGAGAAGTACCAAAGTCACACTGCAAAGGAATTTGGGGCCACCATTAGTCTACCACCACATTAAAAGTTGTTTTTTGTTTTTCTTTTTGAGACAGAGTCTTGCCCTGTTGCCCAGGCTGGAGTACACTGGTGCAATCTTGGCTCACTGCAACCTCCACCTCCTGGGTTCAAGCGATTCTCCTGCCTCAGCCTCCCAAGTAACTGGGACTACAGGTGCACGCCATCATGCCCGGGTAATTTTTTGGATTTTTAGTAAAGACTGGGTTTCACCACGTTGCTCAAGCTGGTCGCAAACTCCTAAACTCAGGCAATCTGCTAGTCTCGGCCTCCCAAAGTGCTGGGATTACAGGTGTGAGTCACTGCATTCAGCCCATCATATATTTATTAACCATAGATACCTACCAGTCCCCCTTCCCCCCACCTTTTTTTTTTTTTTGGAGACCGAGTCTCACTCTGTTTCCCAGACTGGAGTGCAGTGGCGTGATCTCCGCTCACTGCAACCTCCACCTGCCGGGTTCAAGCAATTCTCATGCCTCAGCCTCCCGAATAGCTGGGACTACAGGTGTGAGCCACCACGCCTGTCTAATTTTTGTATTTTTAGTAGAGACGGGGTTTCACCATGTTGGCCAGGCTGGTCTTGAACTCCTGACCTCAAGTAATCCACCCGCCTTGGCCTCCCAAAATGCCGGGATTACAGGCAAGAGCCACCATGCCCGGCCCTACCAGTTCCTTTTTAAGACCAAAAAGTTTTGAATTGTGACAGCATCACTGTAATAAGTAGACAGCTTCTCCCATGATTACAGACAATACCATTCAAAAGTTCTGAAATGTTTGCTTAAAAACAATGGTATACCTCCTCAAAAGAGATTACCCTCTAGGTTTTAACAATGAAGGTTAAAAAACCAGCTCTGCATTGCCTGTGATAGCTGGTAAATGCCATGGGTGTGGAGAACCCCATCTTGCACATATTGGTCAAGAGGGATGTGTGTTGAAAATGTTGGGTACTGGCTGGGCATGGTGGCTCACGGCTGTAATCCCAGCACTTTGGGAGGCTGAGGCGGGCGGATCACCAGGTCAGGAGATCAAGACCATCCTGGCTAACACGGCGAAACCCCATTTCTCCTAAAAGTACAAAAAATTAGCTGGGCGTGGTGGCGGGTGCCTGTAGTCCCAGCTACTTGGGAGGTTGAGGCAGGAGAATGGCATGAATCCAGGAGGCGGAGCTTGCAGTGAGCCGAGATGGTGCCACTGCACTTCAGCCTGGGCGACAGAGCGAGAGACTGTCTCAAAAAAAAAGAAAATGTTGGGTACTGAGAAATTAAGGTGAATTCAGTATAGGCTGGGGGCACAGGATAAGAATAGTAGCTAATATAGTACTTACCTGGTGTTTTACTGTGTACTGGACACTGTTTGAAGCACCTTACACATATAACCTCGTTCAGTCCTCATTATCCACATTTTTTTATAGGAAACCAAGGCCCACATAAATTAACTTGCTCAAAGTGTCACAACTAGTAAGAGGTGGAAGCTAGGATCTGAACTCAAGCCAGCTGGCTCTAGACTGTGTTATTACCCTCCACAACAGAACCTGGGCTGCAGGTCCAGGAGAGGAGGGTGAGAAGGCAGCTGTGTGTGGGTGTGGCACCATGAGGGGAATGTGGGTTGTGAGTACCATGTCCTGTTTACCAGTGGGAGAAGTCAGACCCCTGAGTCAGAACTTATGCTGGGGAGCTTTACTGGGGCCATCACGATGTGTGGGTGTCCAGGCCTCCGGAAGGAAAGGATTCCCAGCATTCCTAAAGCCATGGTCCTGGAATCTAGGCCCCTCCTTAGGCTGAGATACCAGCTGAGAGTTAAGCAGTTTGGGGAGAATGAAGTTTAGGAAGCCAGCCTTACAAGCAACACCGAGAGGTCATCTATAATGAGAATTGAGGGCAAAATCGAGTCAAAGGACCCGGGACCAAAGGTTGGGCAGAATGGGCAGTGTTTGGAAACTGAGTGGGATTGTGAAACTCACTGCGAGCAACTGAATAGGCCGAGGGGGCTTTAGAGACCTGTGCCAATGATTGACGGCTGAGGCGCAGGGAGGGACCCGGGGATTTGCACATGGTAGAATTAAGGAGCGCTGGCGTTGCGTTGGGGGAAGAAGGAAAGCCCCACCCCGCTCCCCGGCAGTGGGGAGGAAGGGAGGAATGGGTGCCTCGGCCCCCACGGCTCCGGTCCTGGCACGGCCTGGGCCGCCTCCCCGACTCCATCATCGCTGTCATGCCCGGCCTCAAGCCTCCACCGCCCCCACACGTGCCGCCACGGGGAGCGGCCCGATCAAGGCGTGACGCTTCGAAGGGTGGGGCCTCACTTATTCCCCTATTTAAAGGGGAAAGAGGCCGCGGCGCCGGCCCCAGGACCCGACCCGGGCCTCAGAAGAGTCAGTTCGTTCTGTTCACCGAGCCGGCCGCGTTAGCGACGCCCTCGAGTTCGCGGCGGGCACGATGCAGCTCTTGGTGAGGGTGCCCTCTCTTCCGGAGCGGGGCGAGCTGGACTGCAACATCTGCTACCGTCCTTTCAACCTCGGGGGCCGCGCGCCCCGCCGCCTGCCCGGGACGGCGCGCGCCCGCTGCGGCCACACGCTCTGCACCGCCTGCCTCCGCGAGCTGGCAGCGCGCGGGGACGGCAGCGGGACGGCCGCGCGCGTGGTGCGCCTGCGCCGCGTGGTCACGTGCCCCTTCTGCCGCGCGCCCTCGCCGCTCCCGCGCGGCGGCGTCACGGAGATCGCTCTTGACTCGGACTTGTGGTCGCGATTGGAGGAAAAAGCGCGGGCCAAGTGCGAACGAGATGAGGCGGGGAACCCGGCCGAGGAAAGCAGCCACGCTGACGGAGAGGCCGAGGAGGAAGGGGAGAGCGAGAAGGGGGCGGGGCCTAGGAGCGCTGGGTGGCGCGCGTTCCGGCGGCTCTGGAACAGGGTCCTGGCGCCCGCGCGGCGCTGGCGGCGTCCGCTGCCTAGCAACGGTGAGGTGCTGCCAGGGGAGGATGCAGGGGAGAGAGCGCCGAGGAACACGGAGGTTGGTTGGCTTGCTCCTGCTTCCGCTAACCCTTATTCTTTCCCCCAGTGCTCTACTGTCCGGAGATCAAGGACATTGCCCACCTGACCCGTTGAACGTTGTAACCGAGGAACTCGGAAGCCACAGCCGAAGGAAGGTGGGAGCTGCAGCCTCGCGGGGGCTGATATCAAGACTACTGTGTCTCAGATCCCAGGATTGACATGTGATAAGAGAGATGAGCCGAGGGCAGGAGGGAACGCCCTGGGAGGTGTTGATGATGAGTTGGGGAGGCTCCTAGACGAACTCGCCCCCATCTACTGACTGTGCCAGTCTTACATTTTCAGGATGGAGTGGCCAAGGGATGATATAAACAAAGCCTACGTTACTGTGGGAAGAAGACAGACTGTTTTCTTAGCTGGGACTTTGGCTTTTGTCCAGGGTGGCTCTGGTGTGTGGGAGCAACAGGTCCCGTTTTAGCAATTCTTTGTCAATGGTTTGAATTTTTTTTTTTTAAGATGGGATGGGAGAGAAGAGGCTAATTTTCGCGTCATGTTAATCTCACTTCTCTGGCATGTAAGGGTGCTGGTATGCCTGCTGTCTCTCCACTCCCAGTTCTGTGTTCCAAAAATTGAGATGGCTCCCTGCCTATGACTATGATGAGGAGCCTTGCTTCATTTCAGAATCTACCTTCAGCCTGCTAGGGCAGGTATCAGAAATTCCAAAGGGCATTTATATGAGGCACCTAATTAGAGCCTATCAAAGTAGGAAAGGAGAGCCATTTGAAAGGCATCATATTTCAAACTTTTGCTATTATCTGTGTTATCTTTACAGTCACAGGGAACACTGGCGCTACTGAAAAGATACTTATACAATTTTAAGTGTCTTTAAAATTTGTGTCCCATAATGGGACATCACCTATTGTATATATGCCATGTATTCTATTTTAGAATCCTGTAAGTATCTTATGACCATATAGTCATAGTCAAGGACCAGCAGCGTTGGTATGCTGTCGATGGAAGCGCACAATCTCACTCCAGGATCCCACTCCAGACTTCCTGAATCAGACTCTGCAGGGTTGTTGTTTTTGTTTTTGTTTTTGAGACAGTCTCACTCTGTCGCCCAGGCTGGAGTGCAGTGGCGCAATCTCACCTTACTGCAGCCTCTACCTCCCAGATTCAAGCGATTCTCCTGCCTCACCCGCCGGAGTAGCTGGGATTACAGGCTCCTGCCACCACACCTGGCTAATTTTTGTAGTTTTAGTAGAGATGGGGTTTTGCCGTGTTGGTCAGGCTGGTCTCAAACTCCTGACCTCAGGTGATGCGCCCACCTCGGCCTCCCAAAGTGCTGGGATTATAGGAGTGAGTCACCGCGCCTGGCCAGACTCTGGCATTTTAACAATCCCAGGTGATTTGTGTGCATGTGAAAATGTAAGTATCATTGGTCTAGATCCTAGACTCTTTAAGATATCACCATCTGTAGGTAGAATATTTAAAACATAATAAGTATGACTGATAGATTATTTTATCCAAAGTTCTAAAGTAACATTCTATTGCTAAAGAAATCCTAACCTACTATGTTACATTTTTCTCTTAAAAATGTGAACTTATTAAGTATTAACCTCAATTTTTAGGGGTCTCCAACCTTTTTAAAATATTTTTGATTGACAAATCATATACACTTATGGTTTATAAACCTCAATTTTTGTAACCCTATTTTGGCATTTTCCTGTCCTTACGTCTCAGCTTAAATGCTCCCTCTTCTGGGAGGCCGCCTTCTGCCTTCAGCATAGTAGAGCCTTTTCCCCACCCCTCTGTAACATAATGCCCTGTTTTATTTTTACTGCTTTTATTTTCATGCTTTGTGGGTGTCCTCACTGGAGTGTAAGCCCCATGGTAGGAAGGGCTGACCTGTGACTGTTTTATCTCCAGGGCCAACAGCAGTGTTACTGTATAATATGTACTCAATAAATATTTGTTGGCTTTATATCTTATTTTTTTAATATAATAGCCTTGTGAACTAAATGTCTGGCCTCTCTCAATCTCTGAGAATCTCTGTTTAGTGAGCAATAAACATCAAGGAAGTGCCTAGCAGTTCAAATCTTTGGTAAGCTAGACAGATCTGACCCTCAACTCCTTTAAAAAAAAAAAAAAAGTGTGCCTTTGCTTCATACTGGAACTGAACCTGTGGAGCTGTAGTGACCTCTACTGACTCTTAGGGGAACTAAAGTGCAACTTGAAGGTGGAAAGGATGATCAAAAGGATGGCTGGAAGGCAGTTTTGAATCTTGCTAGGCACTCCTCCCACTACATTTCTGTCCAGTAAGTCCCACTCTCTCTGAAGTCAACCTGAGGCCATGTAGTATCTGCTGCTCACCCTCCTTCTCTACACTGAGCCCATCACATAGTTGGAGCTGGAAGAACCTCAGTTTTAGTGAATAATCCAAGAGATAAAAATGAGGAAAAGGAAAAAGTCGTAAGATTTTTTTAAAAAAAGGCAGAAAGCAACAACTTTTCTTATCCCTCCCCCCAAAACTCCCCCCCCTATAAAAAATAACAGAGCACACAGAAAGGAAAGTATAATTTATATGTACAACCAATAAACCTGATACAGAAGAGGGGATCAGGACAGACCAGGAGTGGGTGTGAAGAGAGACTGGGAAGGGGGCAGCAAGAAAGTGAAGGGGCAGCAAAGAGGAAGTGGGGGGTTCGCCATGCAAACTGCCACTCTCCCTGGCCCCTCCTGGGAGGGGGGATGTGCCCACATTTCCCTTGCCTGCCCTCCACTACTTTGCTCTGGTCCCAGTGACAAGGTAGCTCCCAAGACCCTGACTAGGTCCCCTGCCTAACGCAAATTTAGTCTGTATCTAGGCCTTGAGGAGGGAGGGTAGTAGAAGTCTTCAGGAACCTAAGCCCCAGAGCTGGGGGCTTCCCCGCCACCGCCGTCTGGCCCATTGTATTCTCTCCCACCCTTCTAGGTGACCTGGGTCCCTAGAACAGGTTGGGGAGCTCCTCTTTGGCTTGAGGGAGTATCACCCAACCATTACTCTTTGTAGGGGTGGTCCTTGGTCGCTAGGGAGGGGGGAACATTCCCAACACAAGATGCCGGTACACAGGAGGTAACTGAGCCAGTGAACGGCGCCTTTATTCTGAGGCTGAACAGCAATTGACTTCCTCCCTCATAACTGCTCCACCCTCATTGTGGGGAGAGGTAGGGAACGGTAACATGCAGCCACCCCTCCTCGTCCCTTCCTCCCTCCCAGGACTCATTTTCATCCCTCTCTAAAAGTCCCCCTCCTCTCTTCAAAGCTCTCTTCCCCGCAAAAGTTCCTAAAGGCCAGGCAAGGCTAATTCTCCACTTCTGCATGAGATGGAGCTGATTCTGCAGGGAAACAGCTGGGGAGGCTCCACCTCTTGCCTCCCCACAACCATTTACTGGAAAGTTGTGTATACTTGGCGGTGGGGGAGGAAGGTGCTTGGAAGACCCTGCCAGCCGTCTCCCACCCAGACCTCTTCTCACCAGCACAGTCTTCAAGGCTTGGTGGGAAAGGCGCGTGGGAGTGGAGAAAGACAAAGGGCCCTTCTTGAAGAGAGGAGCTGCAGAGAGGGGCAAAGGGGTTCCTAGCCCAGTGATGGCCCAAGGGGTGGGGAAGGTGGAGGGCTGGCAGCAGGCCCCAGCGCTTGAGCTGGGGGTCGGCCTCGGGGACGGGGCCTGGGTGAAGGGCAGGCCTGGGATCCAGTCAGTCGTCTATACAGATCACCTCCCCGGCTCGGGGCTCCTTCCGATCCAGCCCGTCTGACACCAACGCCCCCACCATTTCCTTCTCCTTCTTCACCAGCACTGGAGGGCCGTTGGTGGCGGCTGTTTGGGAAAGTGGTAAGGAAAGATCAATTCCCACATCACTCCCAAACATCACTTCATGACAGTGGTGAATTCTCACTTCTAGGCCACCTCCTGCCACTTCCAGTTGCCCCAGGTAAGGGTGGGAAGACAAGGGCAAACCCCTTTCCCTGAGATTCCACTTTGTGTTACATGATTGAACACGTGTTCCCACTCTATACCCCTCGGGTTTCATATTCACTTTCCCTTGAAGGAACCTGGAGGGAGGTGGCTTGGGTAGAAGACACCAAGTCACAGATCTACTAAAACTCTGGTTTTTGATAAAGGAGATCAAAGAGGGGTTAAGAAAGGGATGGGGGGACAGCCTAGAACAACTCTATCCCATAAAACACCAGATACCACCAAGGAAATGAGATGGACTAGAGCAGTTAAAGGGCAGCTGAGCAGAAATAAAGTTTGGCAAAGGAGGAGTGTGAGTAGCAGGGGGTAGGAAAACACCAGCTGACCTGTGATGAAGGACCCTGCAGGCATCTGGCTGTAATTGGCGCCTGCGGCGGCCAGGGCCCCTACGGGTGCGGCGCTGAAGGCCGCCCCGTACCCCGGAGGTGTAGCGTAGGGACCCGGGGGGAAGGCCTGGAACAGAGAGTAAGCAGAAGTTGGAGTTAGTTCATAGTCTGTGAGAGGAAAGAAGCTGTAGGGGAGACATTAGGAGCCACACTCCACAGCTACTGAGGGTAGGATACACAGGCAGGCAGACTCACTCAAGGGTGACGACTGTGTTCTAGCAAGATGTTTTTCCATATTGTATAGGATTCTGATGGAAGTGTTTGTATGTGTGCAGGAGGAACCCCAACAGGGAAAACTGGAGCTAGGGGGAAAGAGGGTTACCGGTGTGGGGTGAGGCTCCGTGCCCTTGCTGGCCAGCCGGCTGAGGATGCTGCGCTCGGACATCTGAAGGCGGGCTGCGATGGGGGGTATTCGGGATAGCGTGGCTGGCAGGCGGGTCACGTCCGCCTTCATGTCGCTCAGCAACTCCTCCAGCTGGTTCAGAACTGGGGCCCGGGCCACAGAGAAAGAAGGGCAAGAGAAAGACAGGGAAATAGAGAGATGGAGCCAGGAAAAGAGAGGCATCAGACGGACAGATACAGGCAGAAAAAGAGCGAGAGAGGAGGACACAGATGTCAAAGAACCAGAGGTCAAGAAAGTAAAAGTAGACAAAAAACAGAAGCAACTCAGGGGAAAAGAAAAAGTGTTAGGAAAAGAGAGAGAACAGATCACCACAGAAGACAGATGGAGAGAAAGAAGAAAGAAAAAGGGAGCATGGAGGAAAGGAAGATGGGGGGACATTGGAAGACATGGGGGCGGGGAGTTGTCAGAACATCTCATACTGGAAGAGCAAGGTTTGGGGTTGGGGATGATGGGGAGGAAATAGTCAGGAGGCATGGGAGGTGGTAAGTGTCAAAGCTTTAAGGAATCAAGATTTTAATATGTAAGGGGAGAGGGAGGTTAGAAGGTCAGTATTACAGATTCAAGGAATTAGAACAGGGATCAAAGGGGCCAGGAGTCAGTGACTACATCAGGCAGGATTAGATGGTTAGAGGGCTTTGGATATAATCTCTATCACTGGCAAGGTAAGAGGCGGTAGGAGGAAAGGTCGAAGGTCAAAGGGAAGTTTCATGGAGTAGGGTCAGAGGGTTGGATAGGTGGTAGTTTCTGCCTCATGAGGTGAAACAGATGTGAGGGAATGTGATTTGTTTGACCAGAGCCAGGGATTTGTATGGTGCACACACAGTCCAAGGCCCCTAACTGGATGATGTCGGCAGTATGGCGGGGATGCGGCTCCACCGCCAGTGAAGAGGCCCCACTGTGTAGAGGGGACATGGAGGCTGGGGCAGGTCCCTCTATGGGGCATGGTTGTGAATGCTATCAGGTGTGGATGAGGGTTGGTTTGCACAAGTCCTAGAGGCTAAAATCCAAGGGGGTGCCAGGTCGGTAGGGGTGGGGTTAGAGGTCAGAGGGGGGTGGTTCAGAGGGTAGAGGGGTCAGGGGGTGGGAAGATTTTGAGGGGTGCGGGGTGAAGACTTACGCAGCGTTGTGGGCCCTCCCCCGCGCGGGGCCGCCGCGGCCCTTACCCTTGTGCAGGACGGCGTTGGCCGGCTTGTTCCCCGCCAGCGACTCCTTGGAGAGGTGCTGGTGGCTCTCGGCCAGGCACTCGGCCTCGGCGAAGCGGGCGTGGAGGGCCATGGCGGGGTGCGCCGGCTCCTGCGACAGGTTCAGGTAGGCCGCCCGCCGCAGCTGCTCCTCAATCACCAGCGCCTGCTCCAGGAGCTGAGGGCACAGGGTTGGGAGGTGAAGGCAGGGCTCTGCCAGCAGTGAGTGAGTGGCGGGTGGGGGGACTGGACATAGCAGGAGACCCACCCTGCCCTCACTGCTGGCCCAGAGCACTCCTAGCTCCAAACCAACTGCGAACCTAGCATCAACCCTGACCCAGACCACACTCCCAAGCACAAGGTTACACTTTGGTCTTGGCTCCAAGCATCACCTCAGCCCTGAAGGTGTTAACCTTCCCTAGGTTCCAACTAGATCTGGCCTCACTTCTGACCCAAGCCCGTCTAAAACCCGTTCCTGTCCTCCCTCATTCCCACCTTGAACCTCCGGGCCAGGAACTTATTTTTCATCTCCAGAAAGTTCCCCTTATTGGCTTCAGTTTTAAATGGCTCGTTGATAATGGCAAATTGAGCATCATTCTGGATGTCCTGCCACCGTGCATAGCCATGGCTACCAATGAAGGAAAGGGAACCATCAAGGAATTTAACAGGAATGGGCTTGGCTTTGAACACTTCTTCCTTTTGGCCTGACTCCCCAAAGTGTGGCAGTAGCCCTGTCCCTGGGTGTGAAATCATCATCCTTTTTTTTTTTTTTGCCAGCTTGAGAGAACCTTTTCCTTCTTGCACGTGTGTCAAAGGATACAGGACAATCCCAGCCAGAAGCCAGTAGTCGTGTCTTCTGTGCCAGATCTCATTGAGTTTGCCTGAGGAAATAGCTGCCCGTTCCTCATTCTGCCACAGTGTGTGAAGCTCTGCAAAGGCGGCAGCAGACAGAAGAGGCAACAAGGGTTTGCAGACTGCACTCAGTCCAACAGACAGATACAGATGGGGAAACTGAATAATGAAAGGGAACTAAGG